TTGCTGATTAACAAGGTCCATTCAAAAGTCTTTTCACTGCATTCTTGAGCTCCTGGTTCCTCATGCTGTAGATGAGAGGGTTCACTGCAAAAGGCACCACCGAGTACAGAAATGGCAACACCAGATTTAGAACTGAAAAGGAGATGGAGGGAGGCTTCATGTAGGCAAAGATGCCAGTGCTGACAAACAGAGAGACCACAGCCAGGTGAGGGAGGCACATGGAAAAGGCTTTATGCTGTCCCTGCTCAGAGGGGATCCTCAGCACGGCCCTGAAGATCTGCACATAGGACAGCAGAATGCACACAAAACACCCAAAACTAAACAAGCACTGCCCATAATATACCCACCTTCCCTGAGGTAGGAGTGTGAGCAGGAGAGCTTGAGGATCTGGGGGATTTCACAGAAGAACTGGTCCAAAGAATTTGCCTTGCAGAGGGGGACTAAAAATGTATTGGCCTTGGCATTGAGAAACCCACTGGCCCAGGCAGCTGATGCCATGAGGATACAAGCTCTGCTGCCCAGGAGGGTCCCGTAGTGCAGGGGTTTGCAGATGGCCCCGTAGCGGTCATAGGCCATGACAGTGAGAAGACAAAACTCTGCTCCAAGAAAGAAAACAAACGGAAAGACCTGTGCAGCACATCCTGAGTAGGAGATGGCCCTGGTGTACCACAGGAAGTTGACCATGGCTTTGGGGACAGTGGTGGAGATGCAGCCCATGTCAGTAACAGAGGCTGAGCAGGAAGAAGTACCAACCTGGTAGCCTTTTAAGAGGACATAACCAGGTAGACAGATGATGGTAGGGCAGTGGATGTGGTCAATCTTGATTTCAGTAAAGCGTTTGACACTGTCTCCCATTGAATCCTTGCAGCTAAACTGAGGAAGTGTGGTCTGGGTGATCAGGTAGTGAGGTGGATTGTGAACTGGTTGAAGGAAAGAAGTCAGAAAGGTGTGGTCAATGGGACAGAGTCCAGTTGGAGGCCTGTATCTAGTGGGGTCCCCACTGGGACCAGTACTATTCAATATATTCATCAATGACCTGAGAAAGGGAACAGAGTGCACTGTCAGCAAGTTTGCTGACGATACAAAACCGGGAGAAGTTGTTGACACTCCATGGGGCTGTGCTGCCATTCAGCGAGACCTGGACAGGCTGCAGAGCTGGGCACAGAAAAGTTTAATGAAATCAACAAGGCCAAGTGTAGGGTCTTGAATCTGGGGAAGAACAACCCCATGGGCCAGCATAGGTTGGGGACTGACTTGTTGGGGAGTAGCACAGCAGAAAGGGACCTGGAGGTGTTGGTGGACAGCAGGATGACCATGAGCCAGCAATGTGCCCTTGTGGCTAAGAAGGCCAATGGCATCCTGAGGTTTATCAGAAGAGTTGCTTGTATCAGGGAGTTGCTTGAAAGAGTCCAGCGCAG